TGCCGTTTCCAGGGCTCACAAAGGGAAGAGGAGCATAACCAGAGTACGGTCGGGGCGTTGACCTAAAGAACCCCGAATAAGGAACGAGGCCCCTTTTCCCCATACGCTAAACTTCGATGTCCCATGGAAGACCTCAGGGACACATGAGGCAAACTGTTCAGCAATCAAGGAACACCGAGCCCCTCCCCAACGAAAAGGGTTCCCTCTTCAGCGCCCCGGCTGTATATACGGAGGGACGATGGAGAGGGAGAGGGGGCGGGAGGAGGAAGAAGGGGTCCTCCAGGGTGCCGCCCCCAAGCCGCGTGTCGAGGGTGTCAGGCGGGCCCACAACGTGGGCGAGGCGGCGCGCGAGGGCACCACTCAGAACATCAGCTTCCTCTTCCTCTATCGACCTATCTATCTGTAAGTTCAGGTCAACACCCTTCGATTTATATACATATTGGGATACATCTATACATAACTAAACGTACATGTCTGTCTACGTAAATATAGTCAACTACATAGGTATGCCAGCATGTCTATACACATATAAATCGTTTCACGTTTCTATGCACATATCGATCGTTAGATATATCAATAGGTATGTGTGTATGCGTATGTGCATATATATATGTGTATATATATATGTTCAAAGTATCTATTGATATACATGTAGATACACGTATATGTACGTGTATGCCTATATATCCATGCATAGGTCTATCAATCGATGGATGATCTGACCGTCGCTGTACTACTCCGAGGGGGGTGGCAAAAGGCTTCCAGTATGCTGTTCGGAAACAGTTTTGACCCCTGTTGGGGGCCGTCTTGGCGTCTCGTGGGCCCGCATTTTGGAGGAGCTGGTGCCTGTTGTGGGCCACTGTGAGGGTCCTTGGTGCCTCTCGGGGGTCGTGTCGGGGCCCCCTTGGGCTGCCTGGAGCACTTCTTGGGCCGTGGTTGGGGTCCTCTTGGGCCGTGGTCGGGGCCTCTTGAGTGCCTTCGGGGTCGTCTTGGAGTCACCTAGAGAGCGTCGTGGGGGAGGCGAGAAGTTATTGATGATGAAAATGCACGTTTTTCGAACGGGAATTTGGCGAGTTTGGCCTCTTGGGGCTCCCTTGGGAGGCCTCTTGGGGTGCCTTTGGGCGAAAGGGCGCTTCTGGGACTGCCTTGTAGCCCTCTTGGCCCAACGGTGGGCCCTCTGGAAGCCATCAGGAGCTGTCTTGGGCCCTCCAGGCGCGCTCGCGACCCAGTGGCCCCCAACGAGACCAAGGTCTGGCCAGATCAGCTGTCTGTATGTATACAGGTTCTCATTGTAGTAGTACGGGCCTGAATCCTACATGTGTGTATATATCTATATATGTATATCAATAGATCTATCCAACCATCTCTCTACCCACAAGATCATGACAACACACTCCACGTCCTCTTCCTCCTCCTCCAGGTCCACGCCGTCCTTCGCCTGTTCGTCACTGCCCTCGATATATTCCTCCTCCTCCTCCTCCTCCTCCTCCATGTCCGCGTCCTCCTTCTCCTCTTCCCTTGTGCACGAAAGCATCTGCATTTGCACGCCGCAACTCGCAAACAAAAGCAGCACGCAATTGCGGCTGGAAATCTTAACACATTATCCCAGTGCGACCCTACCTAGGAGCTGGAGCCCCTAGGAAAGCAGCATTAGTAGTAACAGTAAAGCTGAGCTAAAGCTAAGCTAAAGCTAAGCTAAAGCTAAGCTAAAGCTAAGCTAAAGCTAAGATGAAGCTAAGCTAAAGCTAAGCTAAGGCTAAGCTAACACTAAGCTAAAGCTAAGCTAGATCGAAGCTGAAGCTAAGCTAAAGCTAAGCTAAAGCTAAGCTAAAGCTAAGCTAAGGCTAAACTAACACTAAGCTAAAGCTAAGCTAAAGCTAAGCTAAAGCTAAGCTAAATATGAGCTGAAGCTAAGCGAAACCTAAGCTAAAGCTAAGCTAAGGCTGAGCTACAACTAAGCTAAAGCTAAGCCAAAGCTAAACTGAAGCTAAGCTAAAGCTAAGCTGCAGCTAATCTAAAGTTAAGCTAAAGCTAAGCTAAAGCTAAGCTAAAGCTAAGCTAAATCTGAGCTGAAGCTAAGCGGAAACTAAGCTAAAGCTAAGCTAAGCTAAAGCTAAGCTAAAGCCAAGCTAAAGCTAAGATAACACTAAGCTAAAGCTAAGCTAACGCTAAGCTAAAGCTAAGCTAACACTAAGCTAAAGCTAAGCTAAAGCTAAGCTAACACTAAGCTAACACTAAGCTTAAGCTAAGCTAAAGCTAAGCTAAAGCTAAGCGAAAACTAAGCTAAAGCTAAGCTAAAGCTAAGCTAAAGCTAAGCTAAAGCTAAAGCTAAAGCTAAGGCTAAAGCTCCCAGGGGACTGGGGGAACCGCGGGGCGGGGACTGGGGGAACCGCCCGGGGCGGTTTCCATTGCCCGGCCCTTTAAGCTAAGAGAGTAAGAACCCTTCTAGGCAGAGCCTAGGTAGGGAACAAGTTGGACGCTTGGACGCAAGCGGGCTTGCAAGCGGCCCGAATGAGGGGGGAAAATGGACCATCCGAAAACCACTTGGACCGACTGTATGGACCAAGTTGTTCACGGATCGCCTCAACACCAACTTGGAGAATGGATTGTACAATGTTCAGGGCAGTCGCCCAGAAGCTTTTCAGGCTGAGAATTTGTCGCAATGCGCACGCTCGTCTTAGCAATGCACGTGCTGGGTGTGTCGGTGCTGCATGAAGCCCGCCTTCCTCGCAAGCGGGACGAGACGCCCCGGGGCGATCGGTCGGACTCTTCTCGCGGTTCGGTCGGGCAAGTCCCCCATACAGTCGGACTCGATTGGACAGGACACGCGAGAGGACACGAGATCCTTCCAAGGGCCATATTGCCATAGGAATGTAGGAGGCATGGGTCGCGAGACGCAGGACACGAGGGTATCCTTGATTTGGCAGGGTCGACCTACTAATCTGGGCCGACTGTACGCACGGGTTGTGGCAGATTTGTTGTAACTCCAACAGACATGATCAACACCAGTCCAAAGAGCACAAAATAAATCGTCCCCAAACCAGGGCTTCACTGCTTGGGAAAACTCCCCCTGTAGAGGGACATGACCGACTTCGCCTTAGGGGAACATGGGGGAGGGGCAGGAGAGCTGAAAATCGAATCGATACGTCGGATCGGCGATCGAGATGAATCGGATCGGCGGAGATCGGCAGCCGAGTCGGGAAGAGTCGAACTTGGCGGAATTCGGGAGGTTGGCAGGCATCCACTGAAGCATCGGAGCCCTAAATCGGCATCCGAAGTCGAATCGCATCGGAATCGCAGTCCAGCGGCATCGAACCGAATCGAACCGGAGGCATCGACACGAGCCCTGCAAGGGGGGAAAGACGTGCAAGATGATCGGGCGTCCCTCCTTCCAGGGGGTCCAACATGAGCGAGGAGGGGGAGGAGGAGGAGGGCGAGGAGGGGGAGGAGGAGGAAGCGGAGGGGGAGAGGAAGGGGAGGGGGGGGGGGAGGGGAGGGGAGGGGGAGGGGGGGAGAGGGGAGGAGGAGGAGGAGAGGGAGGAGGACGAGGAGGAGGAGGGGGAGGAGGAGGAGGAGGAGGAGGGAGGAGGAGGAGGAGGAGGAGGAGGAGGAGGAGGAGGAGGAGGAGGAGGCGGGGGGCGGAGCGGAGGCGGAGGGGGAGGGGAGGGGGAGGGGGAGGAGGAGGAGGAGGCGAGGAGGGGGAGGAAGAGGCGGGGGGGAGGGGGAGGGGGAGGGGGGAGGAGAGGGGGAGGGGGAGGGGGACAAGCTAGGTGCGCTCGCGTCATATCTGACATCCTACCCCTCCCTCCCATCCCTTACCATGGCGTAGGTCCCATCTCTACTCGCACAGTCGGATGTCGAGCAGGGCAATGATCCCGAAAGGGTACGCGATGCGTTGTAGAACACGGTATGCCATGGCGTAGAAGAACACCGCAAAGCGTAGTATGTCACAACATGACGCGTAACGTAGTGAAGAATTACTTCACAAAACTTTGCAACGCAAAGCAGAACATCGCACAGCGGCCCCAAACATAACATGGCATAGCATGGCGTTGAAGATCAAAGCGTAGCATGGCATAGCAAGACGTGGCACTTAAGCACTACATATCACAGCTTCAGCTGACGGCATGGCATCGCGCAGCGGAACGCAACCTAGCATTGCATTGCATGCCGTGGCATGGCACGGGCAATGACACCAGCGCTGCAGCGGGAGCACGATTCGGAACGAGCGGAAGCGCGGAAATGAGGCCAGCGCTGCAGCGGGAGCACGATTCGGAACGAGCGGAAGCACGGAAATGAGGCCAGCGCTGCAGCGGGAGCACGATTCGGAACGAGCGGAAGCGCGGAAATGAGGCCAGCGCTGCAGCGGGAGCACGATTCGGAACGAGCGGAAGCACGGAAATGAGGCCAGCGCTGCAGCGGGAGCACGATTCGGAACGAGCGGGGCCCAAAAATGAGGCCGGCGCCTCAGCGAGAGCAGCATTTTGAAAGAATGCACGCGAAAACCCAACTCTGGGAAATCCTGTGTACAAAAACAGTACGGGGGGGGGGGGGGGGGGGAACACTCCCAACCCGTCATCAGGGGAAGGAGGAGAGTAGTATTCATATTGAGTAATTGTGGAGGAGGAGAAGAGGGGGGGAGGAGGAGGAGGAGGATGAGGAGGAGGAGGAGGAGGAGGAGGAGGAGGAGGAGGAGGAGGAGAGGAGGAGGAGGGCGAGGAGGAGGGGGAGGGGGAGGGGGGGAAAAGGGGGGAGGGAGGGGAGGGGAGCGGGAGGAGGAGGAGGAGGGGGAGGGAGGAGGAGGGGGAGGAGGAGGAACAGGAGGAGGAGGAGGGATGAGGAGGAGGAGGAGGAGAAGGGGGAGGCGGCCCTTCGCCGGAGGCCCCGCCGCCGGAGGCCCCGGTGGAGGCCCCCAGCGGAGGCCCCCCCCGTGGGCCGCCTCCCCCCCCACTCGGGGCAGGCGCACGCCCCCTTCGCGCCGAGGGGCACGGAGAGCACGAGGGGGGCACCCTTAGGAGGCAACGGCTGGGAGGCTTTCGTCGGGAAAAGTAAAGAGGATTCAGCTTTCTTCGGGAGCTCTTACGCCGGAGTGGGCCTCGGAAAAAGCAGGATTAAGCCGGATTGGGCGGGATATCAAGCGGGATTGAGCCGGATTAAACGGGAGTAATCGGGATTGAGCTGGATTTCGGACCAGGGCTTAATCAGAAGTTGACCTCCCAGGAGTTGCATCCGAAGCACCCCTCGAAGGCACGCCAGGCGGGAGCCCGCCAGGGCGCGGATCCAGTCGGACGAGGATTGATCGCAGGTCTCGCCTTGATGGAGGAGGAGGACGACGAGGAGGTCGAGGAGGACGAGGAGGTCGAGGATCTAGGATGTATGGATGATTTTCGTTTTCGTGCTGCTGTTCGTTCTTCCTCGTTGTGCCTGCGCTTCGCCCAGAATGCAGAACGAAACGGAAAAACAAAACGGCCCACGAGACGTTCCAAACACCGTGTGGGTCTAGCCCTGTGGAGGACAGCCGAAGCACGAAAAACACGAGGGCACCCCTCGAAGGCACGCCAGACGGAAGCTAGCCAGGGCGAGGATCGAATCAGACGAGGATCAAAACTAGGGACACAAACAGTGGCATAAACATAAAGACTCTGAGGCCTGCGCGGATTCCTCGGATCGGCGCTGGGCCCCCCTGGCCGCGCCTCCGGCGCCGCCCTTGGCATTCTCCGCGCGCCAGGGAGGGGGGTCCAGCGCAGATGCAAGAAATCCGCGCGGAGCGTTAAACGTGCATGTTTATGGTATGTGTCCTTCTTCCATCGGGGGTCTCTGAGATCTGGCAGCTCTGGAGGATGTCTCGGGCGCCGCGACCTTCTCAGAACGTTCTGGACCGCTCTGAGAGCGTGTAGGAAAACTTTGGAACGGATGTATCGTCGTCCTCGCCCCGTCCAGGCACGGCCTGTTCTACAGAAGTGAACAAGCCATAAACATACACGTTCGGGGTTCCGCGCGGATTTCTTCGGTAGGCGCTGGACTGCCCTCCCTGGCGCACGGAGCGCGCCAGAAGTGGCGCCGGAGGTGCCGCCAGGGGAGCCCAGCGCCGATCCGAGGAATCGACGGGGAACCTTGAAACATTATATCATGCCGGAACATGTTTATCGAGGAGGACACGGCGGTACCCCTCGGCGGCACGGCCTGGTCTTGATCCTCGTGCAACCTACACGACACAATCATGGGGGAAACGGGTCCTTAGGGAAGCTGGTCCTGGACCCGGTGTCTTGGCGATCTTGTGGGCCGCTGTTGCTTCGACATCGTTGTCTGCAGCAAATGGGCATCGAAGCTAAAACGAGGGAGCACGAGCAAAAAACGAATACGAAAACACTGCTTGGCTCGATCCCTGAGGGGGGGGGGCTGTCCCCCGCTGGAGTCTGGAAGGCCTCCGGACAGAGAACACCGCAGGGCTCTGCGAGCGGGAGCCCTGCGCCTCGTCTTCGGCTCAGCGACTCCTTCGACCCCATCTTGTCGCCAATCCGCGCCGCCGATCCCTGCTCTCCACCATCCTACGCCTCGTCCTCCTCGTCCTCCTCCTCCTCCTCCTCCTCCTCACTCGTGTGCTCATCTTCATCCTCTTTCTCCTCCTCCTCCTCCTGTTCCTCCTCCTCCTCCTCCTCCTCTTCCTCGTCCTCGCTCATCTGCTCCTCCTCCTCATCATCAACATCCTCCTCTACCTCATTATACTCCTCCCCCTTCCCTCTCCCTCCTCCTCCTCCTCCTCCTCCGTCCGCTCCTCCTCCTCCTCCTCCTCCTTATCCTCCTCCTCCTCGGGCTCTTCTTCCTTCTCGTCTTTCTCCTCCTCCTCCTCCTCCTCCTTCACCCCTTCATCCTCCTCACCTTACTCTTCCTCCTCCTCCGCCTCCTCATCTTCCTCGCCCTCCACCTCTTCCTCAAATTTGTTGTCCTCTTCTTCCTCCTTCTCCTCCCTGGCGTGTGCGCCACGGGGGGGGGGGGGCGACGGGGGAGGAACGGCTTCGGAACAGCGTGGGCCGCTGTGATAGAGTACCACCGAATAAACCATCTGAGGCGTGAGGCCTCCGCCGTTGCCGGCATTCAGGATGCTCGACGCCACCTTCTGTGCCTCCTCGGACAGCCAGGGCCCGAGCTTCAGCCCGAAGACAGGCACGACCTCTCGGAGGCTTCTGGAGAGGCGTGCAATGCGTTTTTTCCACATCCTGGATGGGTCTCTCGCTTTCCCGGAGAATCCTCTCATTCCCTCCTCCCTCCCCCGACGACGACGACAACGACAACGCTGACGACGACGACGACGACGACTACGACTACTACGACTATCACTTCTACTACTACTACTACTACTACTACTACTACTTCTACTACTACTACTACTACTATTACTACTACTACTACTACTACTACTACTACTACTACTACTACTACTACTACTACTACTACTACTACTACTACTACCACTGCCCCTTCTACTACTACTACTACTGCTGCTGCTGCTGCTGCTGCTGCTGCTACTACTACTACTACTACTACTACTACTACTACTACTACTAACTACTACTACTACTACCACTACACTACCACTACACTGCACTACACTACCACTACCACTACACTACCACTACCACTACCACTACCACTACCACTACTACTACTACTACTACTACTACTACTACTACTCCTACTACTACTACTACTACTACTACTACTCCTACTACCTCACATACTATACTACTACTACTACTACTACTACTACTACTACGACTACGACTACTACTACTACTACTACTACTACTTCTACTACTACTACTACTACTGCCACTTATACTACTACTACTACTACTACTACTGCTGCTGCTGCTGCTACTACTACTACTACTACTACTACCACTAATACTCCTACTACTACTACTACGACTGATACCACCGCTACTAGTACGACCACTACTACGACCACTATTACTACTACTGCTACTACTTCTTTTACTACTAGTACTACTATTTTACGACTAATACTACTACTACTACTACTACTACTACTACTACTACTACTACGACGACTACGAGTACTTCGACGTCTGTTAGTACTACTACTACTACTATTACTACTACTACTACTACTACTACTACGACTGCTACTACCACCACCACTACTACTACTACTACTACTGCTACTACTACTACTACTACTACTACTACTACGAGTACTTCTACCCCGACTACTACTACTACTACTACTACTACTACTACTACTACTACTCCTACTACCACCACTTCTACTAGCACTGCTACTACTACTACTACTACTACTACTACTACTGCTACTGCTACTGCTACTGCTACTGCTACTACGACTGCGCCTGCTACTGCTACTACTACTACTACTACTACTACTACGACTACTACTACTACTACCACTACTACTACTACTACTACTACTACGAATACTACTACTACTGCTGAGGCTACTACTACGACGACTACTACTACTACTAGTACTACTACTACTACTGCTACTACTACTACTACTACTACTACTACTACTACTACTACTACTACTACTACTACTACTACTACTACTACTACTACTACTACTACTACTACTACTACTACTACCACTACTACTACTACTACTACTACTACCGACTACTACCACTACGAGTACCACTGCTACGACTACCACTACTACTACGACTACTACGACTACTACTACTACTACTGTTACCACTTCTACTACTACGACGACGACTACTACTACTACCACAACTACTACTACTACTACTACCACTACTACCACCACTACTACTACTACTACTACGACTACTTCTTCTACTATTACTACTACTACAACTACGACTACGACTACGACTACGACTACCACTACCACTACCACTACCACTACGATTACGACTACTACTACTACTACTGCTACTACTACTACTACTACTACTACTACGACTGCGACTGCGACTACTACGACTACTACGACTACTACGACTACTTACGACTACTACGACTACTACGACTACTACTACGACTACTACTACTACTACTACTACTACTACTACTACTACCACTACCACTACCACTACCACTACCACTACCACTACCACTACCACTACCACTACCACTACCACTACCACTACCACTACCACTACTACGACTACTACAAGGGGATGACACGGCACGACGACGAAAACGACGGACGACGGACGAACGACAAGTACGCGGAAAAATCTGCATACACTTCAACATTCGGAGGTCCGCGCGGATGTCTGGGGTCGACATTGGGCTCGTTGTTGACGCCTCTGGCGCCACCCCATGGCGCGCTCCGCGAGCCAGGGATGGGGGGGGTCCAGCGCCGATCCGAGAAACCATTGTGCTATGTTGCTCCCATCCTGCTTAAGGACCGCATCCCAAAACTGACTTCGAACACTCAGGAAAGTAACGAGACAGTGTCGAACGAGTATCGCCTCCCAGGGCCGGGCATGTGAAAACCTTCCAATGTCGGTACTTTCTTGGTGCTCAGAATTCTTTCGGGCGATCAAGCCTGACATGTTTCTGCTTGTGCTTCTTCTTCGAATAATTGAAGGCCTCCCACATGGGGTCCGAGTAGATGGCAGAGTCGGCAGATCGCGCCGCATCGCCGATACATCGGCGGTGAATCGGCGAGACAACGGCGACGTCGGTGACGCATCCGCGCCGTCGGCCTGGAGAAAATCGGGCTCCACACCGAGCCGCATCGCGGATGCATCGGCGATGCGGCGCGACCCCTCCAATAGGGGATCGACTACAGAATTGACTTACCCCAAAATTACGTTCCTCGTCGAACACACGAAAACGCGTAGAAATGCTCACAGATCTACGAACGTTCTACGCAGCCTCTGTCGATCTGGCGATAAGCTTCAGTCTGGGGTAAATCCATTATGAAGTCGATCTCCTACTCGAACCCTCCGACCCCATCTGACCATTCGGACCGCACTTCTTTGGAGGCCTGAAACTGTGGCGCCGACGCCTTCCGCGCGCTGCCGGGCCAGCCAACAAGCGTCGGCCCTACCGCCAGCGCTCGCCGCGCTCCCATAGCCGGGCGTTGGCAGAACTGGGTTATGGTTTAGTGATGAGTACTGGGGAGCGCCCCCCCCCGCCCCGTTCCACTAACCGGATCTGCTGTCACCCGGAAAAACACCAGCTACGGCAGACCTGGTTTAGTGATTCTTGCCAATTCAAAGATTCCCTGGGCTGTGTGGGCCCTGGAAACGGCAGGGCCGTTTTCTCACAATTTCCAAACAAAGAATCCCTTGAAAATGGAAACGGCAAAAAAACGGCGACCGGAAACGGCAAAAAAACGGCTCCAGGATCGGAACCGGAGCCGGAACCGGTCAAACAACGGCGACGGAACGGTGAACAAACGGCGTCGGAACCGGTGAACAAAAACGGAAAAACGGAACCGGTAAAAAAAAAATGGCCCTGTCGTTTCCAGGGCCCACTGAGCTCCTGGGCCCTACCACTAACCCCAGGTCCCCGTACCTGGGGTCCGCGCTATACCCGACACAGGGCCCGAGGGCGCGGCGCCCGAGGCAGGTGCTTCGAAGAGCTGCGGCGGGGCTGCGCCAGAGGCCGCCTGGCGCGGCTGCTCTGGATGGGGCAGTCATCGCCCCCCCCCTTAGGATCCGCTTGGGGGGTTGGGCACGTGCTGTCGGAATGGGTGGAGGCGGGCTTGGAGGAGGAGGAGGAGGAGGAGGAGGAGGAGGAGGAGGAAGAGTGGGAGGAGGAGGAGGAGGAGAAGGAGGAGGAGGGGGAGGAGGAGGAGGAGGGAGGGGGGTGGGCAAGCTCCGTCGGAAGGTTAGTTGCCCACTCCTGGATGAACATCCCATCCAGAGCAGGTGGCGACATCCGCAGACCACCACCACCAACCATCGACTCTCCTGACCTCAACATGATCGCGTCGTAAACGAAAACATGCGGCGCGACATGTTTGGCCATGTTCGGCCTCTCCAGGGGCCCCTGCCGCGCCTCGGGACCGTTAGAAACCGGCCCAAGATGACAAACAGGTGCTGGGGAGAGGGCCCGGACTTCTGCAACCCGCGTGCTTAACAAAGCCAAGCCTGTCTGGGGCGGTGGGAGGCGGGGGTGGGGCTCGGAGTTCGCCACATGCTCTGGGGAGACCGAAAAGCACCGATACCGCTACTCCCTGGACCTCTCCCAGCGGGGCGCGTTCTGACCAAGATTCCGAAGCGAATCCAGCAGTGGCGACGAGGGCTTCCCGGGAGGCCCAGAAAGAGGGAAACGAGGGAAAGGAAACGGTATGGATACCTTCTCCTCCTCTGATGCTCGACGATTTCCGAACCTTGGCCCCCCGCCGCCCATCGAGTTGGCCAAATCGTGGATCCGCGAGGAAGTAGAAGAAGAAAAAACGGCACAAACATAAACTTTCGGCGCTCCGCGCGGATCTCTTGGATCTGCGCTGGACCCCTCTCCCCAGCGCGCGGAGCGCGCCAGGAGCGATGTCGGAGGTGCCGCAATCGCCGCCAAGGGGGTCCAGCGCAGATCCAAGAAATCCGCGCGGAGCGCCAAAAAGGGTCTGATTATGGAGTTCTTCTTTGGATTTCGGCGCCAAGTGGTGCTGCGGCGCTGCGATGCCTCGGGGCGCGGTGCTGCGACGGAGGCCGCGCTGCCGCAGAGGGCCGCGTCGGCGACGGCGCCTGCGGTCCGCGTCGTGACACCTACAAGACCACCCCAACCCGACCCGAAGACTCCAATTTCGGTTTTGGGGGGGCTAGGGTTCACATGTCCGGTGGCAACTCAATGGGAGCCTCCCGTGCTGGCGCTTGCGAATCGACGCTAATCGACGCAAGCCGACGCTAACTCGACGCTAGCCGACGCGAAATCGGCGCTATCTCATCCACTTCCAACCGCTCATCGACGCGAGTCGGCGCTGAAGACGGAATTGAGAGGGTATACCAGGCCCCCATGATTTGCGACTGAACACATGTCTTGTGTTAGTGTCCCGACGCCCCCCCACTGGAAATGGAGCAAATTAAGGCCTTCGGGTCGGGTCGTGTTTTTTTGTTGGTTGTCCCAAGAGGATGTCCAGCTGAAAGGGGGGGGTGCAACAGATGTGCGGCAATATTTGTGCAAATGTACTGCGCCAAGGAATTGGATTGCATTGCGCTGCAACGGATCCATTGCACGCGAAAACCCAACAATACATTTGCGCAAGGGAATGTATCGCATTCAGCTGGACCCCCTCTTTTCAGTCAACCAGAGGTTTAGTGGGTGCCTCCTCCTCTACTGCCTCGCATCCTCCTCCTCCTCCTCCTCCTCCTCCTCTTCCTCCTCCTCCTCCTCTTCCTCCTCCTCCTGCTCCTCCTCCGCATCCCTCGTCTGCCCACCTCCTCCAGGTGTCAGAGCTGATGCAGCAAGCGGCAGGCCTCATGCTCGAAGACTTCCCTGGCCGTGCCAGCGGGCTTGACGCTGCGGGCAAAATCCTCCGGAGGGGGAGGGCGGCGAGCAGGTGGTCGGGAACGGCGGGGCAATTCTACGAAAGGGCTTTCGGTGAACGCCAGCGCCGCGTGAGCACGCAATCGGGCCACTGAAATAAAGAACGGCACGTAAGGGACGCAGCCTCCTCTTGACCCACAAATCCTGCGCTTGCGCTCGCCTCGCACGGCCCTGGGGAGGGGGAGAAGGAAGCCCCCGCCAGGAGCGGAAGGTGCCCCCGCAGCGCGCGGCCTCTACGAGGCCAAGCGGGCAGACGCCGGTCGGGCCGGTGGGGGAGCACCACCACCCCCACCCCCAAGGCGGGTTGGGCGGCGGGCCAACGAGAGCACGCGGTCACTGACCAGAAGAGATGGCCCCATTGGCCCAGTGAGCGCAGCAGGCTACTATGGGCCACCGCGCGTGGTCACGATGGACAATGGACAGAACGACACACGGTACAGGCCACGATGGAACGAAAAGCGAGACACGGCACGGTAATTATACCCCGCCCCAGTACCAGGCGGAGAAAGCACGGAACGGCACAGCACCGCACAACGCACGCGGGAGGCGGACGCGGATGGGCCAGCGCGCGGCCGACCAGCCGAGCGAGGGCGCCCCCGCGGCCAGCCGCGGGGTCGTTTCCAACGCGGGCGGACTTGTGCCAAGAAGTAACTCCGTTATTCCGACCCCGCAAATCCTGGCGCTTGCACTCGCTTCGCACGGCCCTGGGGGGGAGGAGTAAGCCCCCCCCCAGGAGCGGAAGGTGCAGACCCGACCCATCTGCCCCCGCATCGCGCGGCCTCTCCGAGGCCAAGCGGGCAGACGCTGGTCGGGCCCGTGGGGGGCACCACCCAATGCAACGGCGCTCCCGCGGGCCACGCCCGGCGCTGCCACCCACTGCCCCCGCGTGCCGGGTGCGCCCGCGCGTGTGCCGTTGAGTCGCGGCCCCCAGATTGCGCGGGGTGCTTGGACATCGCCATCGTCGCTGGACGACTCTGCCTGTGGGCTTCGGCGACCGATTGCGGCTCGAACCGGGAAGCGTTCAAACATTTTATCCACGCGGGCTGATGCCAGCCGCCCGCGCGAAGGAGGCCGGTGACCGGGCCTCCCCTGGCTACAATGTTCTGCGCGCGCCCGCGCCTGAAATCGCGGGCGCCGAATGATTCCGCGTCGCGGTGCCCCATTTCGCCCAGCGCGAGGCGCGGCCGAGCACGCGCTGCGCCCTGGGACCACGCGGCCCAAATGCGCCGGTGAACTGGCGCGCCACTTAGCCAGGCCCCCAAGGACGAGCGCGACGCAGGTGACCGCGCACTCATCGCGCAAGCACTGGTGGGCCGCCAGGCACAACATGGCGAAACGGCGACCTTCGCCACTGAAGCCCAGGCGCGACACCAGGCGGGCGACCGACGTCGCGGCCCTGAAGGGCCATGCGTGCCTTCGCTTGCCAGCCCGAGCGCTTCTCGATGGCGTTCTTAGCGACGCGAACCGCCGGGCGCCTGAAGATTTCCACAGGCCTTGCGCGCCGACTGCCACCGCAGGCGAGCGCGCGCGAAGCAGAAGGATGAGAAGGGGGGGGCGCGCCTGCGCGCGAGGCACGCCTTCCCCACGCAAGTCGCGCACTTGCAGAAGGTGCCGGCGCATCCGGAGGCCGTAGACCACATAATCAGCCCCTCGAGGGTGGGCGGCACTTCTCTCCCGCCTCGCTTTAAGACGCCCCTTGCAAATGCCATCCGACATTTGAACCCGCTGCTGAGCGCTGGCAACGGGCGCGGGCACGCACCCAAGAATGCGCTCACCCAGGCTCTCCGCGCCCGCGCTCTTTCGGCCGCTGGAGACGAGACGAGGGCTCCAGCCCTAGCTGCTTCGGCCCGCGGCCCGCGCATGTCTCGGCGACCCCGGCGCCCGGCGACTGAGAGCGCCCGCCGGAGTTCGGACGCAGGGCCCGCTGGGAGAGCCGCGCGCGCCCTGCCGCTTTCCTAGCGACCGCGCGACGCGCCGCGAGCGGCGCGCCGCAGTTTCACGCGCGCGCCGTGGAAGATGGCGAGACTGACTCGCTCGAGGGCGCCCGCCTCGCGATGCCGGCAATCCCGGGCGAGGGGGCGGGCGCAGGAAGACCGCCCGCGCCGCCCCCGCCTAATGCAGCCGGCGCGTCGCCGCGCCGGGCTATCGCGATAGCCGCGCGGACCACTTCACGGGCGTCGCTAGATGACGACGCGGCGCCCCTGAAGTCTGCAAGGGCGACGCCAACCAAATCGCTCGCGGCGTCGGCGCCGGCGTCGGAAAGCAGCGCAGCAGCACCGAATGCAGGGATAGGGCGTGCCCCAGGGCAGACTACGCGAAACTGAGCGATCAATCCAGACCGCGCCATCTTTCGCTGAAACAGCCCTCGAGGCGCGTCGACAGCGCGGCGAAGTGCGCGCGCGCGCGCGCACCTCGCAGCGCGACCGCGAGGCGCGCGAGGGAAAACCCCCAACATCTGCCCGATCTGGCGGGCGCACCCTGACCGACGAGGGAAGGCGCAGCACATCGCGCGCGTGCCTGGTGCCCAGGCCACCCATGGCCGGCGGCGAGGAAACCGCGCGCTCGGGTCGAACCGCGCATCGTCAAGCACCGGAAGAAACCACTCCGCCCCCATGCGACACAGCAGGGAGGATGACTCGCGCGAGGGCAAGTCGGCGATACTGGCCGCCGACGCCACTCGACGAACGTGCAGATTGCAATTTGCACGCAGCGCCATGCGCCAAATTCAATGGACCAACCAAGTGTGGTCGAACTGCTTCGCCTCGCCGGACCGGACGGCCCACTCGCTGCCTGAATTACCTGAAAAGGTGTTCACGCTGGCCCGACAGGAGCAGCTCGAAAGGTGCCAGGCCCAGCGCGATGCTGAGCACCTCCAGACCCCCGATTCGATTGCCGCGCCTTAATGGCAGAAGCAAGGGCCCAGGCGGGGCGACGTCGGTGAAGATGACACGCCCGTCAACGAAAAGAACCGCGGCCACCCTGGCCGGAAGGCCCCGCGCGTCGGGGAGCAGATGCGCAGACGTGGCGTCTGGCGCCTGCCACTCTCGCGTCGCGGGGAAATCGTTGGAAAGCGCATCGCGCCATAATTACACACGGACTCGCAGATGCGCCTGGATACTCGGACTGCGCGCCCTCGCGTGCTCGAATAACGAACGGCGGGGGCGAAACCCGCCCAAAACGCCCGTGGGCGTTACTGGCGGCCCAACAGAAACACCGGCCAACTTGAGCGCGCGCCCGCGCTCAAGCGCGCCCGCCTGAAGGGCAGCGGCGATCTCGGCGCGCCACCGGGCGCGCTTGCCAAGCAGCGGCCAACATGCAAGGCCTCTCTCGTCAATCGTCACAGACAGACCCAGGGCGCCAAGCGGATTGCCAAACTGCAGCTCGCCGTCGGCCACGGCGCACGGACCGCAAAGAATCCTTACAATATTCGGCGAACTGTCTCATTGCGTCGCGCAGCCTTGCCTTGCGTTCAGGGCACAAGGAATCGCCCGCGCACTGAAGGGCGCGGGCGAAAATGAGCCTTCGGCCCAGCGCGGTCAACATCGCACCGATGCGCCCCCGACTGCGAACGGAAGATGTCGCTCCGAATGGGGCGACGAAGTACTGAGCCACGTAGACGCACGCGCCCGCGAGGAAAGCAATCCGCGCGAAGGCGCGATATTCCAGCAACGGCGGGACTCGCTGGAACGCGGCGTCTATGTCCTCCTTCAGAGCCCGGGCGCTTCGCCCGCGCGCCATCAAGGCTTTGCATGCGCCGAACAGAGCGTCGATGGCCTCGTGGCCGAGGCGCTCCTTCGGGCGAGACGCCGCGTTGATAAAAAGCGCGGAAGATCGTCTACAAGCCGCAACTTTTCGGACCCATCAACTGTCATTTGCTTGGCGCCGAACCGCGGCGTCACAACGGCGCCGTCGGGCTCGACCGCGCTGATCGGCGCGGGATTGCCCATTCGGCCATGCTCCGCTTCGGCAGCAGCTTTGGCGAGAAATCTCGGACGAGTCGCAGGGCTCTCTGAGCGCGCCGAGCAGCGCGGCGCTGCCGCGGGCCGCGCCCGCGGTCAATTCCGACAGGCTGAGCGGTTCAGGGCAAGACTCAGGTCGCCCGTTCCCCGCGCGCGGGAGCGGCCCCACGAGAGGCGCGCCGCGCCGGAAAGCTTCCGCGCGGGCTGCGTCCTCGTAACCAACTTCGCCACGCAACTCGACGAGAAGAGGGCCATTGGTCGACCCTGCAATGGCGCGCGCGAAAACATCGGAGCCCGCGAACCAGGCCGCCGTCGCTCCAGAGGCGCGGAGCACGGCGCCCCTGGCCCGAATGCGCTCGAGAGTCGCACGCCGCTCACGGCACGCCCGCCGCACCGGGCGCGCTGCAATCCAGTCGATTGTCGCCGAGCCTCTGCGTCCTCGAGGGCATGGGAACGGGAGAGGGCCTCTTCATGAAAGGCAAGCATAGGCCCGGCGCTTCCTCAGCAGACGAAGGCGACGGCACGCGACTGCGGCTGGCCATGGCCAGCGCGCGACCGCGCGGGCTGCAACTAGAGGCGTCTCTCTGCCGGGCGCGCGAGCCCGCGAGCGTCGCGCGCGCCCCAGGGCGCAGCGCCCGATAAATCCACGCGGCATCGACGCCAAGTCCCGTCGCTTCCTGCGCTTTGAGAGCGCACGCGCGCAGGCCTGCCAAGGGCGCCCGCGCGCCCCCTGGCCCCGCGGGCGGGCGGCCCTCGCGTCGCAACCGGACCGCGACGGTAGACTGGCGCCCATGCCCTGGACGACGCGACACCATCGCGGCGCCCAGCCGCCGGCGCGCGCGCGCCTGCGGGCCCCGCGGGGCGGCGGCCGTGGTCGGCGCCCACTCGTCGTTATTCACATGCCGAGATGGCATGACGTGCGTATCCTCATTGGCGCGCGCCCGAGACATCGCAGCGCCCCGCGCGATGAAAGTGCTTCTGACTGGCGTCGGGCGGGCGGCCTCTTCCGAGGTGAAGGCGCCTGTTAC